CACCAGGCGCTCATGTCCTCCCGTGCTGCACACAAGCAATCTCCCCACCGCCCGCGGAATACCCCTCTCCCGAGCGCCGTATGCTTGACAATGCATACAGCGACCACTGGGCTGCGCTTCCTCGCGCGCCGGGCCGCTCCTTGGATGTGTCCTCCCCCGGGCCGGCTCGTATATGCCGTCCCCCAGATCTCACACAAGCACGACCATCACGCCCAACACTAGTACCACAGATCCTCCCAGCGCCACTCGTCCCGCCCCGATCTTCTCCCCTGCCGGCGCTGTCCCGCTCCCGCTCGACCTGCTCGACCCGCCGCTCGAGCCCGTCGAGCCCGTGCCTGTATTCCCCGCTCCGGCCGCAGTGCTCGTAGGGGAGCCACTGACCCCCGGGGCGCTGCAGAACTCCTGCAGTTGGCTCGGGGTGATCTGGAGTGCCGTGTCTACGCACTGGAAGCAGGCGTCCGAGAGCGTCGAGATGGCGCTGCAAATGCACGTCAGGTCGTATAGGTTGCATTGCTGAGGCTGGGTTAGCATCACTGCACGAGAAAGGGAGGCGAGGGGGGACGCACCTCGAACGCGCTATATGCGGCCGAGTCCGTGGAGGAGGTGCACTACGGCTGGCACGTGCCGTCGTCTGGCGGGGAGGGCCCGCCCTCACTCGGACTCGTGCTCCCGCTGGTAGGGATGCTGCCCGTCGGGCTTGACCCCTGTATCGGGCTGCCCGTCGTGCCCCCGCCTGCGCACTCGGCATCATAGTCCGACTGGGACACACCGTCGTTATTGAGCATGCAGGTGAGGCAGGTCGAGGAGAGGAGGGAGGAGTTGCTGCATATACAGGGCAGGTCGGTGGATGAGCACCAGGCGAACTTCTGGAGGACGGACTCGTCTGACGCTGATGAGCAGATTGAGGTGCAGGCGGAGGCGCTGTGTCGCTCGGCCAGGGAGGAGTGACGCTGTGCTAGGGAGATGCTGCCGAAGCCATGAGGGAAGAACGCGCTGGCCAGCAAAGGGTAGCGCGAGCAGTAGCGTGACGAGCAGTCGCATTATGGGTATGCTGGGTATACTGAGATCGTACAATCCGCTAGTCGTTCGAAAGAGAGCAAAAGAGCGATCTGAAAGCGTGCCATTATTGTGCACTGTCACTTTCGGTATTTTGACCGAATGTTGCTCAGTTGGCCAACGACGCCGTATCCCCGGTTGTCACAGATCAGCTCGATGTCAGGCGCGTTTCCATGGAAGGTTCGGTCGCGCATCGTGTTTGTGAGACGCGTCAAACCGATTTCAAAGACAAAGAGCCCGGAAGCGGAATATGGGTCCGGTCCGTTGACGAGAAATGCTCCGACGCCGCATTGTCGTTTGGCATCTCATCGTTCATCAATGTGCTTCCTTTGGCTATCTTGACGCTTGATGTCTTGCATCGGTCTACCAATTGCAGTCCTCTGTAACAAGCTCTCGTCTCTGAGGAGCTGCGAGCCTCAACTGCTAGTGGGGCTTCCGGCCAGAGTAGCTAGGCTCTGCCCCAACGGAACCTCGATTAAATGGGCATCCTCGTCCTGCGGCAAGGCGGGCCATCAAGAAGCTGGCAGAAGTAGCTTTCGGATGCACCGGACATCTCCGCGTGCGGAGAGGAGCAGGTAAAGTTCACATGCAAGAAATCCGACAACTCCCGGTCCAGCATGGTATGCGACGATCATCAGACCTTGGGGAGCGAACAAATGGCAACGCCGGTGAACCCGTCGTCAGTCGCACGAGGGAGGGAGAAGCGTACAGTATGTTCGCTTGATCGTCCGCTCTTGGTGATAACCACATATAGTTCGGCCATCGGCTCTAAGTGTACCATTCATCAAAGCGGATGTTCTCCGACCCAGTCAAGGGACCCTTACGATTCCGAGCGATTTTGTTAGGATTCGGACTGATCACGGTATCCAATATTCACGCGACGGCGAGCATAAGTAGCCAGACGGTTCAATGGAGATAATGTCAAATTTTCGGCCTTCTTATGTTGCGACCGGACTGCCATCGGCTTATTGCTCGCATAGATGGCAGCCTCGCATGGGAATGACATTAGCAAATCTGAGCAAATGACAACGTTCTCTGCACAGTGGACTCGCCTCTTTCCTTTACGACGCTACGAACGCCGCCACGGTACACCTCTAACACGATGTACAGTACTTCATATTCTCTCTCAGTGTCCTCCCCTTGCTCGTGACAGCCCCTCCCCGGGCTGTGAGCTCTGCCGAACGTTCTTCCTCCCTCCTCGCCGGACGACATAGCGCCGCTTGCGTCGACTTCTGCGCGAATGCAGCCGATTGCGTAGCCCTGCAAGCGCTTCTGCGGTGCCCCTCGACGGACACCATGTGCCTGTGCACCAAGGCCGCTGGGCTGTCATCGAGCCGCCTGCAATGCGTTCTGGTGGCTGAGAGGTTGACATAGACTCAGTACGAGCGAGCATGCGCTAGTGGAGGTTTATCGTCCACCGTCCCGAGCCGCGCCACGGCCACCGCTCCCAGTGGCCCCACGTCCACGTCGGCGGCAAGCTCCCCTACAATCACCGGTATCTGCCGGTTAGAATGCTCTTCGCCGATGCAGCATTCAACCAGTTAGAGGTGCGGTTTGTCCGCTCGATGTCACCGAGGCGTAGGTATTGATATGAGACGGATTAGAAGTGTACCACGCCAGACTCGGTCCCTGCATGTGCCCGGCCATCTCTTACCTCTCAAGTGCACGCAACACATGTGCTGCCAACGCCTTGCATGTACCACCAGCCCAAGTCGGCTCCGCCTGCGCCAACGCCACAGGCACCAGTCCCGGCAATGCGAGGGGCTGCCTCAGGTGCACGGGCTCGGGCGATGCAACGAATACCGGATCAAGCGGCGGGAGTTCCGTCATGGGGGTACGTCATTGGTCCCTCCGGGAAACAGTGCCGTTGGGAGAGTCGCTGTGGGTTGTTCGGTCGGGGCAGTGATATTCGGAGTCATGGTGGTCCTGGCCTAAGATGGAATCCAGGGCATCCTGTCTAGACGCTAGCGAGCAGGGAACACGATGTCTTCAACACAGCTGCGAGTGTAGGAAATAGACATGAAACCTCTGCATCAGAAGAGGGGAAACGGGTGTAGCATGGGCGGAACATCAAGCCGGGTATTGCCATCTGGGTCTTCTTCGGGAGCAAGCAGAGTCATCCCTGAGCGATGTCAGAACACCGGCGAGTGTGCACGTTCCAAACTTGCCTACGACACAGCCTGATGATCGTACTACACCCTGGGCGCTTTCCATGGAACAGGCAGGGTGGTCCGTCTCCGTCCGTAGACCATCCAAATTTGCTGATGAACCCCGGATTTGCACTTACGTACGCAGGGTCTTCGGGTTCCTGAACACCGCGTTCATGTCTCGTGTTCCCGGCCAGGATGGGACAGCAGGGTCGTGCGGTGGGTGAACGAATCACGAACAGCGTTACTGTATGGGAAGCTCGACAGATGAAAGCCAGGAAGGGATGTGCCAAGCCAGGGTCCTTTGATGGGCGATGTGAGAGGCGAGGACCTACCTGGAATGGCATGGAAAATAGACGCCTGCACTGAGCGGAAATGCAAAATACAACGGAGAAGAGACAAGTAGGAGGGGCGGACAGAGAAGCTGGACAGGTATAAAAGGCTTGCATACGGGCTGCGAAAGTCCTCCACACGGGACAGTCAGTGATACAGACAGAAACCCTCAGAGCTCAATCATGCACCTTTCACTCTCTCTCCTCTTACTGCCGGTCCTCGTCTTCGCCTCCGTCACACCCAACTTCGTCCGCGCTCCCTCCGCCCTCGCCAGGAGTCAAACCGGCTCTGTGCCGTGCCAAACGGCCTGCGTGTCCGCGTCCGACACCTCCGGGATCACAACGATCGCCTCCTGTCCGACCGATCCGGCGAGCGCCAACACCGCCTGCGTGTGCTCAGCCGCTGCAACCCTCTCGTCTGCATGCTTGGATTGCTTCCTCGGCCTCGATAATATCTCGGAGTCGGAGTTCTCGCAGGCGTGCGCAGCTGGAGGAGCTGGAGGATCCGGAGGATCGACTACACCAACCAGCACCGCATCAACTCCCAGCGGCTCGGCCTCTCCGTACTGCACGTCGGTATGCACCTCGGCGTCAGACCAGGCCGGCGAGGCCAATCTTCAAGTATGCGCTTTTCTTCTCCTTCCGCATTCGCACAGATCTGACCGGCCGCTCCCCTCAGCAATGCGCCGACACGGATCTCAACTGCCTTTGCACGACCGTCGCCACCCTCTCGTCGTCGTGTATGAGCTGCTGGCTTGGTATTGCGGGTCTCACACCGGCGCAGTACACCACCGACTGTGCCGCCGGCGGCAGCAGTTCAGCTGGTAGCGGTGGGAGCTCGGCTGGAAGCGGTGGGAGCTCGGCGGGTAGCGGTGGGGGCAGCTCGGCTGGCGCGGGAGGTGGCGCGAGCTCCGGAGGCTCAAGCCCGACCGCTGGGAATGGCGGAAGCGGGGCGAGCAATACATCCTCTGGCAGTGGAAGTACGCCGACTGCGTCTACAAAGAGCGATGCGAGACGCGTCGTTGTCGGTGCTGCGCTCGGCTTGGTGCTGGGAGCGATGGTCATCCTTGCTTAGTGAAACATGCCTCTCCTTTCATGGTTCAGTGATCGGTAGTGATAAAGAACTGAACTCGCCCCCTTGCTCACATAATACACTCCGTCGTGCTTGTTCTAGTCACACTAGCTGTCAGCCTGCGGGCCGGGCTCAAGCGATCCGTCTGGAATATCCAGCTGACGTGCAGCAATAGGCGTTGAAGCGTGTATCGACAAGGCACAGATCAGGCCAAGATGTCGGTAAGATGTTTGCATTGTCTAGAAGTATGTGTTAGAATCTGCTGTTGTGAAGAGGTGAGCGCAGTAGCATTCTACTAAGAACACTTCAGGCGACAAAGACAAAGCGGAGGCTTTCCGTCGGAATCTCTTTTCTGTCAGTGAAGATACTTGGGCCGAACCCAATTTCATCGAAGCGTGGATGGGGTAGTGGTAACCTCAGTCGTTGCCATTAAGCAACGCTCGACTGGCCCCGGGTTCGATTCCCGGTCCACGCAGAAAAACCTTTCCTTTTGCATTTTCCACCTATTTCCTCTTTGGGCGACAGAAGCTTCCGCTCGGCTTTGATACTTCTGGCTCGGCTTTGATACTTCTGGTTCCCCAAGATACTTCCGCTTTATACAAAAGTTTCCACTCGGTGGCACTGTTTCGGCTTGATATAAATGATTCGGCTGAGCAAAGTAGCTTCCGCTTACAGCAATTTCTTCCGCGCCCAGCCAATGCTTCCGCTCGAAGGAACAAATGCCTCCGCCCTACTTGCGCCAGCTTCCGCTTTCTGTGGGCAGAGAATGGGACACGTACGACAAATTCATTCTTTCACAAGCAAAAGCAGCGTATCACTGCTCAGAAAAGGGCCGCTCAGCACTGAACATGATATCTAAAGCTTCACAGAACGTTGCCGTTGAGGTGGTGGATTATGGGCCAGATGATGTCAATCTCCTTCTCGAGCTTGCTGCAGCCGGCGTCATGCGTCGCCGTGCGCTCGTAATCGACGCCCGTCGGGTTGTTCGCGCCGCCAAGGACGTTAATGCTCGGGTGTGCGATATCATTCACCACGAATGGACGCCACTTCAGGGATTCCAAACCCTGCGGCCCTTCACGAGCGAACAGGACCCAGGCATTCTGGATGTACTTGGAAAGCTTGATCTCAACACTGGGGAACACCGTTGTTGTCAGTAGCGAACGGTCAGGACGCTAATACATAAGACTCACTCCGTTGGCTTATAATTCTTGGAAAAGGGCGATAAAGTGTACGTCTGGAACACGATCGGGATTTCGGATGTGTGGAAGGCGCGCAGGCTCTTGTTTCCGTTATTGATGTCGTCGAACACGCCTTAGGTATATTGACTCTCAGTATTCCACGGAGAAGTGTAGCACTCACCCTCATATATGTAGCGATACGTAGGAGAGTTGGCCCCCACGCGCAGGCTCGCACTTTGGAAAGCGAGGCAGTGGAACAGAACCTGTGTCAATGCTCAATGTAAGTTGTGTGGACGACCAGGAAACCCATACGTCAGTAATCGCGGCACTCGCGACATTGAACGAGACATCCTTGGGGAGCTTGCCACCGGTCGCCTCGTAGGCGGCCACGAAGATATCGCCTTCGTTGGCGTTGTTGCCAAGGAGGGTGGGCACCCTCAGGAACCCTCCTTGCGTCAGACGCCTCTGCCAGTCGCCGAAAAGGGTGTAACCTGAGTGGTGAGGAAGGTCAGACTCGAGGTCCACCGCTTGTAGCAGCAAACACTGGCCATCTGTGATCGCCGTAAACGTGACATTGCTGCTGAGGATGGTGGCCTGCAAGTCCTTCCATGGCACGGACCGCATGCACTTCATAACATCGGGCCCTACACACGATGTCCATGAGAAAGCAAAGACTTGAAGTATTATCGGACTAACTGCTTGTGCATCCAGTTGCCTTGGTAAGATTGGTCCAAACGGTCGGGTCAGGCGCAATAAAGAAGTCCAGGCCTACGCTAATAGATAGTTGATTCAGGAAGGAGCGCACTTTGCAATTAAAACGTCGTACACTCCGGACTCCAGAATGACACCTATGCGATGCGTCAGCGGACAATAAAGCTCACGTGAAACATTCCTTACGCTTCACAATCGTATCCTGTGGGTTCCTGATGGCGTAAGCATCCACAGCCAGAGAGCCGAAGCTCTCGCCAAACAATGTGATGCGGTTGGGATCTCCGCCAAAGTTGGCGATGTTCGCGTACACCCACTTGACCGCGAACTCGACATCAAGCAGTCCGACGTTCCAGCTTCCCGGAGCATTGGGGAAGCCGAAGACGTTCGTGCGATAGTTGATGCTAACGATGGTGATGTCGTCATAGTCGCGAGTAAAGAAGGAGCCGTTGTATGGAAGAGTATTGCTCTATCCATATGCGTTAGAACACAGAGTCGGTTCGATGATCCCTAACATACTGTGCCAAACTTGCCGCTTCCACCGTACACCCAAATCATAACAGCCGTCTTCTGGGGCCTATTGGTGGCGGGAGCCCATATGTTGAGGTTCAGGCAGTTTTCGGAGGTGGGCACTTTGAGTTGCTGATCCAGTATGCCCGAAATATTGAGAGCGGCTGCAGCGCTTGGAGAGATTTCAGCAGGGCAAGAGTCACCCCAGTTGGATGCGTCAAAGACCTGCGAGCCTCGGGGATAGGCCTGCTGAGGAGGCTCGAATCGATACGTAGCCGTGTCTGCCGCATATGGTATACCCAGGAACTGCCGATTTCCATTGACCGAGATGCCCCTGACTGGGCCTTGGGCAGTCTGCACAAGGAGCCCATCGTCGGCAGACGGAGGAGCAAAGAAGGAGGACAGCCCGTAGGCCAGCTGGAGCAACAGAGAATACATGCCTGTCTCTTTGCGGTTCGGCAATGGTGGCTCAAGCTCATATATATAGAGAGATCCAAGCGTGCCATTATGCATTTACCAATGCGGCCGCTCTCACTAGACGAGCTCGTCCAGATGCGGCACGCAAGGCATGCAGCGCAAGCGAGACCACATGTCCAGACCATGGCCTAAATGCAGACGAGAAGCCATAATAGCAAGAGTCCCGTGCAACGGATGGATGTGCGGTCAACCGTTGCAAGGTACGGAGTGAGGCATGCGGGCGCAAGAGAAGACGGACGGGGCGAAGCGCCCAGCGGCTTGGTGCCGATGAGGCGATGTAAGGGGCCGAAGAAGGCGCGCCGAGAGCCTATGGGCCGGCTGCTACCCCTTGGTCCGGCATCTTGTCCTGTATAACGGCAGAAACACTATCAATCGTGTCTTCTATAAATACATATAGATAGATAGCGCATCTTCAGTATCTACAAGTACTCGGAATAGGAATAAGGATACACAGGCAACATAGGCTGCGGTGTTACTCAAGGTAACGGAACATTCCGCGAGCATAACGACCGATCTTGCGCTTCTCAGAGTGGAACCGCGCCATTGGGAATCTGGCAAAGAACTCATCAAGGAAGGTTGGGCTGAATACTATGATCAGAATATGCAATCGACAATGGAGAAGGTTGGACTCACTTTGCGTAAAGGTCGAATAAGTAATGACCTCCGCAAATTTCGGACGGGTCTCCTGAACACGGGGTGTCGCACTCGCCAGCCGAGTTTCCATTAGGCACAGGGGCACCACCATAATAGATGCCATCACTGCAGAAGCACAGGTTGCCATGCTCAACAGCAGCGATAGGATATCCCAGATTATAGCAGAAGTCGACGCAGCCCTCCACCGTCTGATCCGGCAGCGCTCCGGTCGTCGCGTTGGGGATCGCGCGACTCTGGTCAGGAGAGTAGGGGGTAGGTTCTGAGTAGCACCCAAGTGGAGTATATGTCGGAACAGCAGCGCTGGACGTGGAGGAGGAACTGGAGCTTGAAGTGCTCGTATGTGCGGTGCTGGTGGGGGTAGCTGTAGATGGACTAGGGGAGCTCGTGCTCGTTTCACTGAAGCTTGAGGAACCTGAGGACGAACTTGCGCTCGAAGTGCTGGTAGGCTCTGTGCTGGTTGCAGTCTCTGTGGAGGAGCTTGGGGCGCTCGAGGAAGAACTGGTACTCGAAGTACTAGGAGGTTCCGTGTCGGTGGCAGACGTCGTGGGCGGACTGGGAGGGCTCGAGATTGGCTCAATGGAGCTGGACGAGCTAGATGACGAAGTGCTGGTGGGTGCAGCGCTGGTGGGGGGTTCCCTTGAGGAACTCGAGCCGCTTTCCGACTCACTGAAGCTGGAGGAGCTGGGTGACGAACTGGCGCTCGACGTGCTGGTGGGAACCGTGCTGGTAGCAGATTCCGTGGACGGGCTAGGTGAACCAGAGCTAGACGAGCTCGATGAGGAGGCACCGGTGTCCGTGGCAGAAGCAGTCGACGTATCAACAGAAGATGGCTCACTAACGGTGGCCGTCTCGACTGAAGAGCTCGAGGAAGATGACTCCGAAGAGGTGACAGTAGGCGAAGTGATGCGAGTGTGCGACCTCGTCCGACTGGATTCAGAAGACCTGCTATGGGAGGATGATGTTGCTGGGGCGCTGGAAGGTGAGGTCGTGGAAGTGGCGGTGGTAGTTGGAGCGGCCGACTCAGAACTGCTGGGAGTCGACGAGGGCTCGGAACTGACAGCCTCAGATGTGGTCGACGACGAGTCCGTGCTTTGTGCCGCCGCCGCCGAGCTGCTGGGGCTTTCTGAAGTCGTAGGAGGCCGCCCCGCTGTGTGAGACAGCGACGCGGTGGTAGTCGGAATGACCGGTATTGTACGTGTGTGAGTCGGCGACGTCCCACTGAGTTCGGTGGATCGCGTGTGTGTCCTTGTGAAGGGCCTGGTGCTGGACTCTTCGGTGCTCGCCGTTGAGGATGAAGTTGGCAGAGAGGACGAGGACGACGCGGTGGACGAAGTGGAAGTAGATGAATGGGACACAGGCGAGGACGACGAAGGGGAAGAGGACGGCGAAGAGGGTGGAGAAGAAATCGATGAAGAGGTCGTCAGCGGCGGCGGCGGTGCTGCAGCACTCGAGGTTGTTTCCGCAGTAGCGCTCGTGCTGGTTGGCATGACCACAACGGCAGAGGTTTGAGTGCCAGCGGCGCCAGGGCTGTCGCACCGGTAAGTCATGAACGGACGAGAGGGAGAGGGAGAAGACCCACGTGTCCACCACATTCAAGCCGCCATCTGGACAGCTACCGTCCGGGTTGGCCGGGGTGAGCTGAGACGTATCGAGCGAATTGCTGCAGATGCACTCCGCACCGCCGTCAGCTGTCGCTGAGAACTCGTAGCCTCCATTCGTGCAGGTCGTAGGGCAGTCCAGGAGCGCGGCCTTGACGTTGCCTGCGAAGCGGGACTGGGATGAGGTAGGGAAGAGCGCGGCGAGCGGCGCACAGCCAAGCTCCGTACTCCCGGACGGCAGACCGCTGGAACCGGTGCCAGAAGCGGAGCCGGTGCCACTGGGGGATGAAGAGCTTTCCGTCGGGCTGGTCGCGCTGCCTGTGTCAGTGGCCGGTGCGCCGCCGCCGGGG